GAACATGCCGGTGGTATACTGATCCATGGATGATCCGTGGTAGTTCATCGAGTTCCACGCCTCATTGCCGGCCAGGTGGCCGTCATCCGCATGAGAGCTGTGGCTGGAGAGAGTATCATCAGGAGTGCAAGAGGACTGGGTACCATTCTGGCCATAAACTTCATTATCAAAGGCAGAGAGGTCAACCAATGAGGAGTAGTGGTTGAAGTCATGTGCATGGGAGAAATCCAGGTCATTTTGTTCAGTCACATCCTGGATGCCTGAGAAATCGGATCCGGCGTGATGATACATTACATCACTGGGGCCAACGGTCGATGGCAGCAGTTGCTGAGAGAAAGAGAAAGAGAGCATCTGGACTTCCGGGGACTCTGGTTTGGACATCGCACCACTGTCAAGTGCATCCACGTCGCTCAGAGACCACCCCTTTAAGTCATTGGGGGTTCCGTGGTTGGGGTGTGTGCTTGAACACAAGGAGAAATTGTCCTGGCTCGAAAGTTCATCATCCTGGATTCCTCTGGAGGCCATGTTGGGGATCCCTGGGATCATTTGGTTTTGTCTCGGCTGAGACAAGTGGTCCATAGTGTGCAAAGATGACTGGGACAAAGACATGTTCTCTGGGTCGTTCTTGATCTTGGTGGACATTGTGTGGGGTGTGTGTTCTATGACCAGACAAGCTGGAAGACAAAAGGCAAGCACTAGAAAGGAACTAAAAGTCAGTACATCTACACCTAAATGCTATTGCAACAATGACAAGAAAGTGAACGATGGTCTGCATCTGGGATCCATGTCGAGCAAAGGGCCTATAATCAGTCAGAAAATCATTCATGCAAGCTTCAAGGTCGAGGCACACCAACCAATAAGGTGTCGTGTGTATATCACTCCAGGGAGGTTACCGCTCGGTCCAAGAGAAGTTGTGCGCGCTGTTGTTAATCCAGGAACAAATCTGAGGCAATGACCAGTAAAGCGATCGGCAAGAGCGGCAACATGTCCGTGGTGCTTGTTTCCAGTGTCAAAAGCTGCAGCTGCAGTCGATCGGGTCGTCTAGTTTTGGGTTAAGGTATCCATCCAGGGGTCCAGACTACAAAGGCTTCAAGTGAAAGATGCAACACATAAGTTGATCAATGGTTCAGTCCATTAGATGTCGAGGTCCAGCGATGATTTGATCGAAAAATCCAAGGTCGGAGTTCATTGTGTCATTGCTATTTCCAAAGACGGCTTCTAAATCCAGAACGGGAGTCCAAATCGGGGAACGGAGAAAATAGGCCAACAAAAAGGGGGTCCAAGGCAAATGTCCAATCTCCCACTAGGCTTAGTGAGGAGAGATCCGGGTGGTTCCAGGCAGAAAGGATAGTCCAGGGGTAATCGAGAATTGAGTGTGCAACATTAAACAACACTCAAGAGTGTCCAGTCACACAGCGGCTGCTGTGGACGAGCAAATGAATTCCACGGTAACATGTTTTTCGTCAATCCGTCGCTTCGACGGAAGAATCCAGCGGAAGCAAAGAGATTCAAGAGTCCAGGGGTCCTCTATAGTGCTGTTTGTCGTTGAATGGTGTGGTCGAGAAGTAGGTTCCACGAGTTTCGAAATGCAAACAATCGCAGAAAGGGAAAAAACGAAAAGCAGAAAAATCAAAGCAAACAGACGAAAGGAGATTGATGAGGGGACTACCTGTTATTGTGTTGCCGTATACTCAGACTAAAGCCTGGGAGGAGCGAAAAACAAAACAAAGCAAGCAAATCCTATCCAGGATACGGACTGGGTTTCCAGAAGGGCAGTTCAAGGGTTGATCTAGCCAGGTGGGGAAGGCAAGTAGTTTCTTTTCTTTTCCAAGATCCACGGGTTGGACACTTGTAGGAACAGAGAAAGAACAAAAGAGTCAAGCAAGTAGTCAAGCCTTGAGAGCAAGTGGAAATGGGATAGTAGTAGGCAAGTAAGCTGATTTGACTGTGACAAATCTAGCACAAAGTAGTATGGAGGGGCAATGTGTGTATTTTGGAAGTGCGAATGTGTGTGAGAGTATGTGTGTGGAGTAAGAATAGAAGAGCGATGGAAGGTAAAAAGGGGGGTATCTCGGGTCGTTGGGTATCAAGAGTGGGCAAAGTCGGATTTCTTCTTTGAGTCTGGTGTGATGATGATGAGGAGAATAGGAAAGGTCGAGAAGAATTCCATCTGGAGGGGAAAGGACGGCCTTTTAGAGGCGAGGAAACAGGCTGGAGCCGTCGTTCAGGAGGCCAGGCGTGGGGGGCCATCGGAGGAGACGGTGCGTCCAAGCGTGTGCCGGAGGTGCATGCTTGCTGCAGCCGGCTGCCTCACTGACCCTATCGAGCATGATGATTTGGCGCTGCGAGACATGGCGGTGATAGTGGTGCAGCGCCAGGTGGTGTTGTCCGGTCCCTCTCTGCCAATGATTCTCGGAAGTCACCCATCTTGACGGGGCTTGACGTGGCCGGTGGGTGGATGTAAATGGATGTATCTGATAGTCTCATTTGGTAACGGCACCACCCGGGCAATTGCTCAATCTAGCGGTGAGGCGGGCCTCACCCGTCCTCCACTTATCTCACGGGTCTGATTGGTGGTCAGGGGGAAGATGGGCTGCAGTGTTGCATCACCGGCAGCGAAGCCCCTCAGCCGGCAGGATTGGCAATCCTAAATGATTGGCGCCGAGCCCTTCCTGGGAGTTCCCCGTGGTTTGTCGCGTGCAGGGCTATCCTTGTCCCTGCCAGCCAGTCATCGGCATTTCCTCGGCGGCCCCGCTTTCCCTCGTGAAAGTGTGCCAACTTCGGCTTCATCCTTTGGCTGGGATGCTCACCACGTCAATCCCCTCCCTCATCCCGCGGAACAGGGATCTCGCTTTGTCGCAGCTACTGCACATAATTGACATTGCCCCTCCTTCCCCGGGACAGCGTGTTGCTTCATGCCACAGCGGCTCTCTTTGCCCAATCTCGCGGCTGCTCCAAAGAAAAGGAGGGGGAGGGGTTGAGCCATCCAGTTTGACTGCCATGTTTGCTACGTTTCATGATGAGGAACCTCACATCCTTCTTTCGGATATTAGTTGACAGCTGCACTCCGGGCTTCATCCACCGGCGCAAGCAAGACTGACACCACGGGAAGTTGGGCAGCAATCTGATGGATTTAATTACGGGACTGCCGGGAAGTTTCTTTTTACGCTTGTCTCAGAATAAGCTGGAAATCATAATATCAGGGTTGGATTGGATTCATCACAATTTCAATAATCCCGCTCTCTCTCAAATTAAAATTCTAAAATATGGGTATCCCGTCCTACGCCCTATATTCCCGCACCAGTTCGAGGCATCCTAAAGCATGCAATGTCAGCGATTGGTTCTCAAGCGATATTCCAATATGAGTAGCAAACAATGACGCAACAAATGGGTGTGTGTATCAGATAAAGGTGAAAGATGGTATACAGTTTTCGTTCAACAATCCGAAGATCTCAGGTGAACTATGCTTATTGGTATGGTGTTCATCATTGTGGGCAAATAGCCCCCAGTGACACCCATGTAGAAAAGGGGTAAAAGAAAAGAAAAAGTGCTGCGCTTACCTGTTGCCTAAAAGACCCAGAAAAGGGGGAGTCGTAAAAACAAAATGAAGAGGAAAAAAAAATAATAATAATAAACAGACAGCGCGCAGACCTCGCCAGGCACCCTGTGCGACGAGGCTGCCAGCTGGTCGCGTCGCTGACACGAAACAGTTTCAGAAACCTGCCTACATCAAAGCAAGGCCAATGAACTCCTCATGTCTGCTTCCGGGCAAGCAAATAAGATGATGCAGGCACCATCTTTGCCACCTCTGGCGTGTCTGCTGTCGTCGGCGTGGTGTTAAGAAAGAAGGAGATTTTGGCATGTGGGAAGATATTTTAAGAGCCGCCGAAGCGAACAATGCACGTGATGTGTTTGCACGGATTGCACCCCCACTCAGGCCGAGGTTCCGATGATCAAGATGAAGCTAAATTAGTGACGCCCAAGTTCTACGGTAGTGACCTGGGTCGTTTTCCGGGCCGAGCCGTTTCCAGATGTCTTGCTTAGACGAGAGTCCTAATGATGCTAGTCTATGAGACTTCACCATACCTCATGTGGTAAGCTGTCCAATTTGTCTTGCACACAAATAAGATCACATAATCTAATCATAAAGCTGTGCTCTGGGTCGCTATACACATTATGCTGCCTCACAAGAGCATGTGTTGTGATACCTTGATGGCTTCCCAACTCCTATGCAATCCCTCACTTGAGGTCTCGATAGAATTGTTGTGCAAACGGGTCTGCTCAGACATAATCAACAAATATAACAAGTCTCTAGACCACAAGCATTATTCGTTATCTCCAAAAGTATATGACACTCGAGGTGGTTGGGTTTCAAGTGGTAGCTAATTCTTGTGTTGGCGACTTGGTCATCTGTCTGCATGCGGCACTTGTAGTGATATTACTCCCGTAACCTTGACAGGCGTCTTCCTACCTTATCTGTGAAGACATCATACATCACATGACGATCATTCCGCATGCCGTTACACTAATAGAGCATATCCTTCTCTCCTCGCCATGTCTCCGTTGACAATCCCCCGGTCACTTAGGAGCACCATGAATTGGACAGGAGGTCGTCTTCGACGACACTCGAGCTATAAATCAGGAAACAAGAAGCAAAGTTTTAAAAGGTCTAGAGTAGCAGAGTCGAAGGACCCCCGCATGACATCCTTGCTAAAGAATGTCTGCCTCCACGAAGGAAGTCGAGCTATAGATTCATGCGATCAGCCAAGCCAGCAGGTAGGTTGCCTTTGTTAACACATGTGCCCTTGCAGGCTAATTCAGATTAAGTCTAGCCATAGCTCCTCTCTCTTGTGCCCTGCAAAGAAACCACGTCTCACATTGCCTATGCAGGAGTCCTCACAAGCAGACCAGAACTTAGCAATGATTAAGCATAAGCTGCTAGAGAAGACTGACTGGGCATCGGTTGCAGCAGCACGACCACTCACGGTGCTGTTTCCTCCAGTAGAAGCTTTACGAAACTTCGGGAGGCGGAGAAAAATAACGAATGATGACTGTGAGAGGCTGGGGTCTTCTGTCCTGCGTCCAGAGCTTACCTACCGCCCCAAGCATCGCGGAGGTGCAGAGCCTGATACGGAGAGTATACAGAACCTGGACATAAGGATAAATGGGCAACCCGTTGGAGCTTACCATCCGAGGTGCAATGGCCCGTCAACTGATACTACATCGCAGTCAATGCTTTTAGACCATGAGTTCGCACCCACAACGCCGAAGCCCCCTGTTCATGAGTATGTTTGTGAGAATATCGGCGTGGGAAGCTCAGTCGTTGAGGGGTCTAGGATACTGGGCTCTTCCAGCGTTTCACCTTTATATGTGTCGTCTTCCGATGGAGGATTGTCCCTCCGGAGTAATTTCATGGTCCAGGGCTCGGATCAGTCCATCGATGAGTCTAAGGGCAAGGAACAACTCGAGGTTAGAGGTTTGGAAGTACTACAGTCAGCCGACGCCAGCCCAGAAGTTCAAGAAGCGTGGACTCCGATCAGGAGACGATTTACGCTCGACGACCAGATTCGCGCTGAAGAGGAGAGAAAGGCGAAGGCCGCTTACGACACATCCTTGGAGATAGACGATTGCTCGACTGCTCATCTGTTTCTCCGAGGCCCTTTTAACCCAAGACTCTCTTCATCAGCTGCAAGTAGCGGTTGGCAGCGAGGATCTATGCAGGATTCTATGAGCACATCATCGACATTGAACCACTCAAGTTATGGTTGGCTCCCAGAACCGCGCCAGAACATACAACGACTTATATCACAGAGACCAGATGAGGGAGAAATTGATGTGCCTAGTGGATCTAGACAACGAAGCACCACGCTCGCTCCGCCACGTACAGCAATAAAGCAAATCACCCCCTCCTTGGTAATATTTGGCCAGTCTGTTGATCTAGATAGCGGTCTATTCGCTAAGCAAATTGAGCACGGGGATGAGCAGCAGCAGGCTCAACACGGTTTCACATGTTCTCCCACCACAATTTATGAAGCTAACTGTAATATATCAACGGATAACTATCCGTCCAAGATGACACATCTCCGTCAGCCAGATGACTTTGCATTCTCACCGAACATGGTCAAGTCTAGAAAGCCCACCGTAGCGCCAAAGACCGCAAAAATATACATCGATCAAGCATGCGCTTCTCCTCTCTTAAGAACAGCGGTACCGGGACGGGAGTTTTCTGGGATGAACCGGGAGGGTCAGCGTGCCCAGGAGTTGACCAATCGATATAGTTTATATAACTAGGTCCAGGCACATGAGACTAACTCGACAGGACATCGTCTCATGACCCACTTGTACTACACGGCGTGATAAAGCATGTCACTGCTCTGCATAAATGATACTTCGAAGTATGAAAGTGTATATAACACTGTGAGGCACTCAAGACAATAACCAGCCTCAACAGTGAGTACAATTATGATCCGTAAAATCGTCAGTCACATGCTAATCTTACGTCAGGTCCCGGAAGCAAGCCCCGACAACGTGACCTCCACCTGTCTCCGCATCACCTCCGCAGGAACAACAACACCAACACTATACATCCATTTCAACCTTCACCCCCATCCTCCTCCCATCGACAAGCCGAACCTCAACCCATACAGTGGCCACAAAATGCGTCCATTAACACCCCTCCTCACCCTCCTCACCATCCTACCCTTTACAACCGCCCACCCAACCCACCAGTCCCAAACCCAACTCCAACCCTTAACAGCAAACAACACAACAGAACTCCGCGCCCTCCCCCTCGTAATCTGGCACGGCCTAGGCGACACATACCTCAACCCATCCCTGCAATACCTAATCCAAGCCGCTGAAGCCGCCAATCCAGGAACCTACACCTACCTAATCCACCTCTCCCCTAGCAGCACCGGCGACCGCCAAGCGACCTTCCTGGGCAACCTCACCACGCAAGTCGCCTACGTCTGCGACCAACTAGCCCGCGACCCAATCCTCTCCACAGCACCCGCCATCAACGCCCTCGGCTTCTCACAAGGCGGACAATTCCTCCGCGCCTATATTGAACGCTGCAACAACCCCCCGGTCCGCACACTAATAACCCTCGGCAGCCAACACAACGGCATCTCGCAATTCCAGTCCTGCGCCTGGAACGACTTCATCTGCCGGGGCGCCGAAGCACTTCTTCACTCGGGACGATGGTCATCCTTCGTGCAGGGACGGCTCGTCCCCGCGCAGTATTTCCGCGACCCTGAACCCACCGAGATGGAAAACTACCTCCAATACAGCAATTTCCTGGCGGATGTGAATAATGAGCGCGAGGTGAAGAACGAGACGTATAAGGAGAACTTGAGCAAGTTGGAGAAGTTTGTGATGTATATGTTTGAGGAGGATCGGATGGTGGTGCCGAAGGAGTCGAGTTGGTTTGGGGAGGTGGATGGGGAATCTGGGGATGTGGTTGGGATTAGGGAGAGGAGTATTTACAAGGAGGATTGGATTGGGTTGAAGGGGTTGGATGAGAAAGGGGGATTGGTGTTTAGGACGTTGAAGGGGGGTCATATGCAGTTTGATGATGAGGAGCTGGAGGATATTTTAAAGGAGTTTTTGGGGCCTGTGGAGGTGGAGGTTGGGGATGATGATGAGGTTAGTAGGTTAGTGAGTCAGGTTGAGTATTAACTTCTCGTTCTCTTTCTATCTCTTATGTGAGGGAGATGCAAGAGATAAGAGTTGCGGCGCTCCTACAGAGTAATATTATATATTATACCCGGGTTTCAGACTGTGTTGGTTGCTTTTCTATACTACTACTACAAGTAGCACTAATATAACGGTATTAAATACATGCACACACACTATGCTGCATCCATTATGCTACATCGGGATATCATCAGAGCCAGAGCCACTGGAAAATGAAGCTAAACTAATAAGAACAAGTAATAAATTGGCAGCAGCAGCAGCAGCAGGTAATATCCAAAACACAGTAAGAAATGATACAGCCAGCAACGACAACAAATGACAAAGATACCTCATGTAGTTAGTAAAGCAAGTAGTGTACGCAGTACAGCTCTATCAATCGATCAATCAGTCAGTCAGTCAGTCAGTCCATCGCAGACGCCATTATTAATGATCATGCAGCAGACGATCCACCGTGACGCGCATGGCAATAGTGAGACAGACATATAGTGGTAAGTGACAAAGGAGAAAGTTTAGATGGATCATGTGCAAGGAATAGCACAGGGGATGTGGGATAGTAATGTAACAAGAAAAGGAGACCGGTGAAAAGCAATATGAAAGAAAGAAAGGATGGGATATATCATGGGCCTCGACGATCATGACTCGAACCTGGTGGAAGACCCGGATGGATGAAATAAGCGATGCAATAGACAGAGATAGGAAAGAAAAGTGAATGAATGAGGGTAGTTTCTGGAAGGAGTGGATATGTCATCAGTAAGGCGGACGTCCAATTCCTCCAGTAATGCCCCGTCGAGAAGCACCACGGGGCCTGCCGGGGCGCGACTCTGCATGTGCCGGGGACAAGAACCCATTCAGAAGGTTCTGCACGTCACGGCGCTGGGCACTGTCCGTTGGTTCGGACAGGTCCGGCACGCCGTCGTAGACATAGCTTCTTGAGTAGTCACCATCAGCCGCTGCAGCTGCGAGACCCGTGCTGGACCGGCTCTTGTGCTTGTTGAGAGATTTGCCATGGTGAGGCACGGCAGGTGTGCCGGGCTTGCCATTCGCTGTGGGAAGCCGACGAGGCCCTGGTGCAGTGGATGGTCGCTCTGACGCCAGGGATCGCTGCGAGTCGTTCGACACGCCTCCGGTGACGGACAAGGATGGGGGAATCGGTGGCACAGGGGGAATATCGTCTGCAGCCATAAAGTAGGCCTGTCCGTTCTCCGTATTACCTAAGGCGGAAGCTTTGGGGGTCACCATGCCGTCGCCGTCCGGAAGACCGTGTCCATCCCTAGTCGACTGGGGTCTGATTGAAGCACCGTCTCCGTCAATTTCAGACAAGGAATAACCGCTGACCATGCTCTCGCTGCTAGACGAGACGACGCTGCGGTTGGAAGCATCCAGCCGACCACGTAGCGGGCTCAACCGGCGCATCTTGTCCTGATCGTTGATGGAAAGAACACGCCGCAGGTCATTGATATGAACCGGGGAGTCTCTGCTAGAGCTCTGAATGTGTGCCCGGGCAGACTCGGGGACGCTCATCCGACGCGAGTTGTGCAGTCCGGCTGCACTCTGCTGAGCGGATGGAGGTGAGGTGGTCGAGGGTGAACTGCCGTCCGCGCCATTCAGGTAAATATGACTGCGCATCGCCATTGTCCCGGCCTTGGAGCCACTGAGAGACAATGCCTCGGTTTTCTCCCGCTCCGCAGCTGCCAGGCATGATTCTCGGGACCATGCCGAGAGCATCTGTTCCCGAGCGAGGGGAGGCAGAAGATCACCGCGTGGAGCAGAAACCGATCCATGTCCCAGAATAGGCATAGTGAAGCTGCGCGTGGGGGAGCCCGGGGGGCTGTGAGAAGAGACGAGCGCGGCATGGTTGTATGCATCTTCGATACCACGAACAAGGTGCTCAATGTCGTTAAAGAATGGGGTCATCTGGTCAACGTTCGTGGTGTTACCGGCCACGGCACGGTGATCTCCGCCCTGTAGGACTTGGCTGAGGTCAGTTGCGGGCAAGCGAATAGGGTCAAGCCAAAGGCTGAGCTGTTGCCTCTTTGAGATCTCATTTTGAATAGCCTGGCCTACTTCTGTCGATCCCAGCTCGAATCGCTCAGACAAGGCCCACAGATATCCATACACCAAGCTTCCGATATTAACCTTGGCAGATCCGGATGCTAGGCTTGGAGCGCTGTTCAGATCATCTTGAAGCTTCAACACCATAGGCAGTCCAAACCGAGCGGCGTTGACCCCAAGTTTATCAACAAGGCTGGCCAAGATCAAATGAAGCAATCTGATCTCAGAAACACTAGTCGGACTTTCAAGCGCAATGTCATAAATGGTCAGGTGCAGCATTCGGAGGAAGTTGAATTGAGCTGCTATGGCGGCCTTCTCTCTCTGCATTGCTGTAGACACTGATCGTTTCCCAGTCCTCTCGCCGACCTCCGTTAGTTCCCGTTTGGGGCTTGAATGTTTCGCATGTTTATCCTTGACTGCCAAATCGCTCTGGTTCGTTTCGAGCTTCAACCAAGACAGTAACGCATCAGCATACGCGTAACGCGCATCACCTTGACGTTCCTGCAACAACCACTGGGTCCCTTCCCAGACGTGGATTCCAACATGGTTCCTGGACTCCACGCCAGATACAGCTGCGGGGTTCCGGGAATTCGCTACCATCAGAATGTTCTTGATAGCTCTAAGAGCAGCAACTCGTCCAGTAGTGGATGAAAACGCGATAGAACTGGCTTCCCCAGTTAGGCTGCCAGCCTGCGAAGCGGCTCCGGGAGAATCACCTGAGACTTGTGCAGGGTGTTCGTGGGTGGATGAAGGCTTGATCCGAGTCAGGACGACTCTGATCATATCTACAACTTGATCGCCATAGTAGATGTGCGTCGTAAGGTCTCCAATGCACCGCTGGAAGAGAGTGATCAAATCTGCTCTCTTTCCAGAGAGTTCGACTTGCTTCTCCGAACCCGCAGGCGACAGCAGGAACGACATATGCTGCAAGAGACCCAGAAGGATATCAATCACGCTAAGACCAATCATATTGACAGGCGACTTCAGCAGCCAGTCGATCATGTAAACGATGATGAAAGGTTCATCCAAGGTTTCTTCTCTAGGGTTGATATCGAACAGAAGCTCCATGGCGGCAACCAAGATGATGAACCGCACCTGCACCGGGCACCATTTCGCGACCAATTCCATCAACGACGTAGCCCAATTACCACTCGAGTCCAGGGACAATCCCAAGCTGGTGGCTCGGTTTCTGCGGAGCATGAAGTCCAATACAACTTTCGTGGTCACGCGGATCTGACCGCGGCTGCTTCCCGTAACAACAATGCGCTCGAGGCAGCTGAGAGCAAGAAGCCTCACATCCATTTCCGCTTTCTTGTCTGCATCAGCCGCGGACTGAGAAGCCAATGCCGGATCGCCAGTCACGGTGTCGACGGTCTGCACGGTAGCGTTGCTAATTCGGCGCCGGTGCGCAAGATCCGCTTCACTGCTCTTCTCCGATTCCATAAGCTGTTGTTCCAGAGATGGGATGACATCCTCATCTCCGTGGCAGACGTTCTCCAAAATGACCGGCAATATGATCTTCAACGAATCTCCACCATCAGCAGCCAAGCCCGCCTCGGAACTGACCACGCCCTTGATCGCACGAAGTCCCGCATTCCGCCACCGTATCGCCAAGGGGCCGCTAGAGGCAGGATCCAGCTGGGGCGAATGCACCTCTGCGAAGCTCGCATACGTCCGCACGACCTCGCGATACTGTGTCGCAAAGTCCTGTTCGGCCGACAGCGCCGCCATGTCCTGATGGCGGCAGAACATCTCGAAGGTCGCGATCGAGTCTTCAACGATTGTTATATCGCGGGAGCGCAAGACAGTTTCAATTACCGTCAGCACGGAGCGGGCGTAGATGGGGAGGTCGCGGGGCACTTTCTCGATAAGCGCGGTGAGAATCTGAAGTGTCACCTGTACATTGCTTTACCAGAACAAGTCAGCCCCCGATTGAAGATAATTCCCCTCGTAGATTCAGTTCCTCAAAACATACCCTATCTTGCGGCGCCAGACATCCCTCGCGGCCCGTTTCTCCAGGAAAGCGCCGACCTTGGTCAGCTTGCTGCGACGAGTGCTTGCATAGTAGAGCAGATAAGAAAGTTCACTCGGATTCGGCTTGACTTCAGGAATCCCCTTCTGGTATTGTGGATAGCATTTCAGAACTAAGACCTGATGCTTTGGCCGACATGACTGGCGTACGCCCTCCATTGGGCAATGTGATTCGCAGGGCGATTACCCGATGACTGTATACTGCAGATTTTCAACGGTTTTAATACAACAGGGTGCAGATCCGATGACCGAAACGGTCACTTGAGGACAAGTATATTTAAGAACTGATTAAGGATCTGTAACAAGGAAAGACCATGAGGAAGTAGGTGTGTCACGTCGCTGGGGCCTTTTGGGGGGGTGTTGCGGCAACGGCCAACGTGGTTTAAGGAGAAAGGAGACGAGAGGACAAGACTTCCAGGTCGAGTTGCAATCACCACGGGTGGGGTCGATCCATCGGAGATACTAGTAGATAGTACCCAGCCTGGACAAGGAGGTGGGGGATTGAATGAAGAAACAGGAACACTGTCAACCGCGGAGGCTGGCAAGCGAGGCAGAAGCGAAAAGTGTCGCCCTCCGGTTCTTTGGCGGATGGCGATAAGTTTAGTGTTGGGTTGCCGCGGCGAGATGAACCAACGGCCTGCTCGGGAAATTCAGCCTGGCGCGCCGCTCCGGCCGCGTCACGGTTAGGCGGTCGCAGACTTGCTCATATACCAGATTTATCGTTAAAGACATGGACGATTTGTTTTATGTTTCCTATGTAGGCTTTTTCTCTATATGATATATTGTTCCTTGACTCAAATTGGTCTATCGGTATGATGGCTCAAATGCTCGATCTACAGCAGAGCAGGTACCCAGGAGAGTTTTTCCCCTGCAACCTAATACAACCCCACGGCAACGTCATAGGCAGAATATCAGGGACAGATGCTGCTGCTCCTATGGCTTGGAAGCGAAAAATCTAAGCACCCAGTGTGTCGATGAGAACGGACAGATGGGATTTTTCTGTCGTGTCGTACACTCCACTACTTTCTTGTGTGCGCATATTCCCTCCGTCTCTTACATCTGTGACAGGCCCGCTCAGGACTCTATCGAGCAATCTCAACCGGAATAGCTCGGGAATTCCAGCTGAATAGAGAGGAGTATGTCGTTGATCCTGAGGAGTGCTTGTCGAGGTGCATGTCTGGTAGCTCCAATGAAGAGCCGGTTCCATGGCCGATCAGGGGGTACCTCGGTCACACATGACTCCGGGGAGATCATGAACCATCTGGGGTTGCATTAGGACTGCAGCATAAACCGCGGTGCATCAAGGTGTCCCGATGTCGACCAAAGCGCCCATGCCCCGCGCGGATCTTTTGATGTTGTGTCTCCATATACCCCCCTCTCCGCAGCCTAGTGGTAAAAGAAGACGGTGGCTCAAGCAGGACATCATCCCGGACAGACCACCGAGCCAATCCACACCGAGGTCAATATACAGCGCGTCTGTTTCCTGCTGTATCTAGTGTAACCGCATGCCTTCCTAGCTTGCTTTGGCTTGCTCGCCCTCCTGGTCTCCAGACTCCGCAGCTGGGTCGACGGGTTCGGCGGCAATATCGGTCCCTGCTAGCCTTTCAATGACATCGGGACGAATAATGTCGCGACGGAAGGTCTCCTCCTGCAGTAGTCGTAGCGCCCGCAAAGTGGCACCAGGATGGGTCAGAAACTGGGCGTATTCGGGGGTCTTCCAGTAGGAATAGAGGTAGGCCAGGTACGCTGCAAATCCCTGCGCGTCGGGGTCTGTGGAATCATTGTTCACGTCGCTGTCATCACCAGACTTGTTTATGCCCAGCAGGTTCGGATATGTCACGGCGAGGTGGGACAGATAGTAGGGATTGGCGAGAGAAGACACAAACTCTAGCTCGAGGGTGAAGCGAGGATTTGTGAGTGTCGGAGGCGGAGGCTGTTGTGGTTGATCGGCGGGGGGTGGCTGTTCCATGATGCGACGGAGATGCTCTTGAACAAACCAGAGAACCGAAAAGGTCGGTGACTGAGCCTTGAGAGTAAAGAAAGACGTTGGTGGTGTGTAGGTTGCAACGAGTCGGAGCTATTCAGATAGACCGCGCGACCAGTTGGAGGTTGCCAAGACAAGCTCACCCCGGCGCGGCAAGCTCCATTCACTGGTTGTCGCGGTTGATATTCGATGACTTCTATAGCCACTAGTGTTTCCCCACTAGAAGTGTTGAGCAGTATTTAAATTAAAAGAAGTGTAATTGATTGAGTGAGGCTACTGACATTTTACTTATATGTACTCTACCGCGTTGCTGGACGTCAATTCGGCTATTCCTCCTGGAATTAGTACACTAGAGCTACTATCGGATTCATGGTTAGGGCCATGAAATACTGCTTCGGTTGGATTGACAGTAACTACAACCCACATTGAAAATTGTTACAGAAATTGATAAAAGAAAGCCGATTATGTGTCTACAGTACCTAGGGAAATGGCAGTGGGCAATAGTCAAAACTTGCCATTGTTCTTCTTATCCTCCCCCCATGCAGTCTAGAGCTGCTAGAAAACAATAGACTGGCCTAGAAACACCATGGCCTATGCATAAGGCCAATGGTTTACAATGGTAATTATTGGATGAATGCATTCGAATTCAGGTACAGCTTCTACTTGTAGATAGTCGATTATTTAGTCGCCGTACAAAGCATTAGTCAATTGAAACCGGAATTTAGATGACGCAGACCCAGCTATTCAATGTCAAACGACCGTTACGATAAACTAGCGCCATCGGGCGATTTATATGAGACTGGCGCCGAAATAAGATCGCCAAATCATGGTTCACCGGGGTGATGATAGAGGGCCCCCCCCTTGGATCAGAATGGCTTCAAACAGTCTCCATCTAAATTCAAACGAGCCACAGTGCGGCATGAAACACGTCGGAGATAAGCTCTGAGGGGACGGTGGTCCTCGCCCACCTTGACTGTTCGGGAATCCGATGACATCTTAAGCATTCTTTGGCTTAGCCAGAGCGAGACCTTTGCCCGGTTATCGATGCATGCTGCCGTACTTTGTCACACTGAACAGCATGGATGACGTTGTTCGTCGATCCAACGATAAGCCTAGATCGGACAGGCCGATAAGTAGGATGAGATCCAGTAGGCAGTCATACCAGGACCGGATGCAGAGAGAGCCGAAAGACATTACGAACCAGCCCAACACACTCTGGTCGAGACCTCATTGTTGCTTGAAATCAAGTTTTGTCCCATTAGATGAATGTACGGGAAATACTTTGTCTGCGTTTTTGGAACTATTGGGTCACAGCTGTGCCACATAGCATCCAGTCACAATGTTGTGGTTTACTTGATACTAATCAATCGACTAGTAGTAGTTCCAGCAGCAGCCGTCAATCCGATACACAAACCGGAGCCAGGCGGCGCGGGACGATCGGAGCCAGGGCTGAGAAAAGCAATATGGAAGTATCCTGCAGGTCGGACGCCTGGTCGAAGACTATTAGGAAAATCGGATCGTTGTGCCGTCGGAGTCCGGATATATTCCAGCTCTTTTCTGTGGTGGATTTTTATTTCTCAGATGCAAAAAATGAATGGTGGTACTACGTATGCTGGCGGTGCTGGTGGGCGGGCCAACAGGCTGCACAGTAACAGAGAGGCGCCACGAGCGAGAGCGACTCCATCGGTACCGTGGCGACATCCACCTGTCGTATTCCGGTCGGGTTTGATCGAGGCAAAAACTCACTGGCTGGATGGCTGCATCATCTTGCTCCGCCCCAGGAAGGCAAGACAGCACATTCCGGACGCGATCGGACCGGAAAACGAGGGAAGGGGAGAGAAGTGCGCGATTCCGGGATCGATAACCTATATACGCAAGCCACCCTCACTTGACCAAGTGGATGGCGGAAGTAAGGAACCAAATGGGTGGCCAAGGCAGGTCACGCAGCACAACCAAGATGCGAATGGAATTAGTAAGAAGCCGGTGGGATGGGATGGGGATGTTGGTTCGCTAGTTAGACAGTCGGTAATTATTGTCCCAGCTGAGTTCAATTAAGTAGTTAGTTAACTGGGTAACTGGTTGGTTATCTGGTTAACCGGCAGATGGATGAGCATGACCATGACCATGACCAAGACCAGGGGGGAGGATCATCCTCATCGTGGGAGGCCCGCCGGTGTCGATCGGAGGGACAACAATGGATGGATGATGCAGCAGGTGGGCTTGCATTCTTGGGGGAGGAGCTGACGCAAGAGCACGAGTTTGTTGCGACTTTCCGGTACTCTTTCGGGAAACAAAACCAGGGCTCAAACGTCTAAGCCATGCGAGAGAGAATGATGACAGCAGCAATAATGAGTCTCGATGAACGTGGTGGAAGAGTGGTTTGTTGGGTCTGTCGTGTCCTGCAGAGCCAATGTTTGTTACTATTCTCGGGTCGGGGGGGAGGTCAGTGAAGAGTGGCACGAGAGGGAACCTGTGGAGATGAGAACGTTTGGTTCCCTCCTATCTAGTCTAGTGCCGTCTCTCTCAACCTCACAGGCAGCAGGAGACTATTACTAGTCGAAGCTCGTTTGTTCGGTTGGTTGGCCGATTGCTGACCGGAAAGCAATGAATGGAGCTGCAAAGTGTTTTTCCTGCGCCCGCATCCCTACTAGTCGCATGAACCCCAGCTTTTCTTTTGTATCTAGTGTGTGCCTAGGTACATTGCAATTCTGCATATGATCGGAGGATAGTCTACGTAGTACGGAGTAAAAAATAGATCGATGGTAGAAGCAGGAGCAGGAGCAGGGAATAAAAATGTGAGGATCTAGGAGATGAGATGATGATTATTATGGAGTAGCAACCAAGCAAATCAATCCACAATTCAGGCACAGGAACGGACCAACCCCTGAGAAAAGTTGGGGTCGCCTGTCAAAATTGACTCAATTAGTTGCGTGGGCAAAGTGGAAAAGATGGTGGCTGATTGATTGATTCCTGGGCAACCACAGATGATAATGAGATGAGTTTGCCCTTTTTTATTTCATGTTTTTATGATTAATATCCCTCCCCTCCATCGATCGAGGGAGGTGATTCATTTATAATATCCGTATAATATAACTGCTAGCATCTTCTTTCTCATTCTAGTGATCGAATCATAAAATAGAATAGAATAAATACGAAAATAAGATGAAATAGACAAACTTTCAATCCATTTTGGGTAGGATTTCCCCAGGCCCTCTCCTTCTCCCTCTCTCTCTCTCTCTGTGTGTCCTCTTCTCTGTTCCTTTTCCTTTCCTCCTTTTGCCGCGTCGACGATCGCCTCTTCGGCCCTTCTTTTGCCTCTTTTCAGCAATTCGAGTGGTTCCGTCCATCCATTTCCCCAAGGGGCTCTGGATCCTCATTGGCACCCGTCATTCCCTCGCTCTTCTCATCTTCCTCTTTTCGTACCCTCTTTTTTCCCGTGCGTTGCTCCTAAACTGAACTCTACTGACTGACTGCTTAACTACTTTGTACTAAGTTACTAAAGTTACTCCTCCCGTACGGTACCAAACCCACCCTCGGCTTTCCCTCTTGTCTCCCTCTTTCCCTCCGCTCCATCGTCTCTCCCTGTCCCTCTCCCTCTCCCTC